GGAGTGATGTGTCTACAACCAAGGAAGGTCAAGGACTGCTGACAACCGCCAGTAGCTAGAAGCGGCAGGAAGCATCGTTCCCTAGAGCCTTCAGAGGGAGCAGGCCCTGCCCACACCTTGATTTCAGACTTCTGGCCTCCAGAACTAGGAGAGAAGTAATTTATCTTGTTTTAAGTCACCAGGTTTGTGGTATTTGGTTATGGGAGCCCTAGGAAACAGATACAAAAGGTGATATTTAGTCTGCGACCCACCATATCCCAAGAAGGCAGCTGTGTAAGCCACCCGGCAAAGGGAACAAGTAGGCTGGAGGACCTGTGAGACTGGAGCATGTTGGAGTTAAGAATGGAGAAGTGAGCACCGCACAGGTCAGGTAGGGCCCTGTAGGGAGGGTTTAAGATCAAGTGCATTGGGAAGCCATTGCTGCATTTTTTTTTAAATAAGAGAAAGTGTATTTAGAAAGTCACAGAGGTAGAAATGAGCTATAGAAGAAATGAGCTTAGGAAAGAAGTTACAGAGGCAAAAGAAGGGCCCTTGGAGCTTAGGAAAGAGAGAAATGAGAAAAACTCACCTGGGGGTGGGGGCGGAGAAAGGCTGGGGGCTTGCTCCATAGAGAGAGCCACCCATCAGTGCATTTTAAACAAGGAGATGTTATGACCCAATTTAGGATGGAAACTATTTCACTTAACTCCATTGTGACATGGAATATAGATCTGAAGGCTAAACTGTGGGATTTGGTTTTTTTTCCTCTTACACTACATTAGCCTAAATTCCCTGAGGCAAGAGTGAATGTGTTAATATTTTATTTGGAACATGCAAACAGGGCAGCAAGGGTGAGAAAAGAGGGGAGTGAAGCAAAGGAGGATGTGAAATGATGTAAATAATGAGTGTTATGGGCTGAACTGTGTACCTCAAATTCATATACAGTGGGGCCTTGACTTACGAGTTTAATTCATTCCGTGACGGAGCTCATAGTCAAATTACTCGTATGTCAAATCATTAAAGTGAACGAGTGAGACACATGATGCTGGGCTGATGTTGTGGCGTTCACTGTGACGTTCGCTGCGCCAACTAGCTGTGGGGTATCTGAAGCTGGCTAGTAACCCGAATTTTAGCTCGCAACTCAAAGCAAAAAATCAGCCGAGAGACGGCTGGTATCTCAAAAAACTCGTTAGTCGGGACACTCGTAAGTCAAGGCCCCACTGTATCCAAGTTGTAACACACACACACACACACACACACACACACACACACACACACAGAGCATCCTCAGAATGTGATTATTTGTAGATGGGTCCTTAAAGGAGTGAATAAGGTAAAATGAGGTTATTAGGGTGGGGCCCTAATCCAATGTGAATGGTGCCATATACGTAACAGAGACTCCAGGGATGCACACACACAAGGTGAGTCCCCATGAGGAGGATACAGTGAGAAGGCGGCCACCTGCAAGCCCAGGAGAGGCTCAGAAGGAACCCAGCCTGTGTGGCCTTTGTCTTGGGCTTCCAGCCTTCCGGACTGTGAGAAAATAAATTTCTGTTGTTTAGGCCCCTAAACTATCGTATTTTATTCCAGCAGCCCTAAGCAGACTCAATGTCTTTTGTGAAGTCATTCAGACATCTGAAAGCAATAGTATTTTCCACAGATACTCTTGCTTCCTTTGTGGTGGAGATTTAAGGAGAAATTGCAGTGAGGAAATTAACCTTGAGAAGGACTCTGAAGCCTCAAGCAGTTTGTGGCTATGTCTGTGATGGGGTCTGCATTGTGATTTTATCACACTCATCGCCCACAAAGTTTCCTCTGGGTCACAAAACACCCCAGAACTGAGGCCTCCGACCAAATGTGTGGCATGAATTCCTGCCCTGACTCAAGGTGACTGTCCCTCTCTCTGGGACATAGAAGGCAGAGGTGCATGTCATGTTTCTTCTTTTGCTTCAGCTTCTAATACATTTCTTTTCCTAACCTTTGCTCTCCTTTCAATGCAAGAGCAACTTCAAACCAAAGGGAGTGTTCCTGCCTGGAGTCATCGCATCACGGGATCAGCCTGCCTGATCTGGGATCCTGGCAAAGCACCTGTTAGTAGTCACATGACTTTGTCAGATGACCTATTCTGTAAAAGAGAAACAATAATGATATCACCTATAACATGAGTTTTTGTGGGGGTTAAAGAGATAATACTTAGAACACCAGCAATGGGGCTGTGTGGTGGGAGTGATCCACTCAGAGGGAAAGACTATTCAGTCAGTGATATTGCGGACATTGTTGTAGCTCAGGACCTAGCGCTCAGGACTCAATTGATGCTGTTCTTCATAAAAGTCTTGCATAACAATTTGATCCTTAAACTAGGAGTACATATAACTTAAAATTTTCAAAGAGGTACTTACCCTATATAGTTTTATATGTACACTAGAGGCCCAGTGCATGAAATTCATGCACTCGGGGAGGGGTCCCTCAGCCCAGTCTGAGCCCTCTCGCAGTCCAGGAGTCCTCTGGGGATGTCCTTAAGCCCACCACCGCTGCTGCACTCGCCAGCCATGTGCCGGCTTCTGGCTGAGCAGTGCTTCCCCTGTGGGATCAGGCCAAAACCGGCTCTCCAACATCCCCCGAGCGGTCCCGGATTGCGAGAGAGCGCAAGCCAGGCCAAGGGACCCCATTGGTGCACAATCAGGGCTGGTGAGAGACACGGGAGGTTGGCCAGCCAGGGAGGGACTGTGGGAGGGCTCCAGGGCATGTCCAGCCCCTCTCGCTCAGTCCCAATCAGCAGGACCCCAGCAGCAAGCTAACCTACTGGTCGGAGCGTCTGCCCCCTGGTGGTCAGTGCATGTCATAGTGAGCGGTTGAGCAGCCTTAGCATATCATTAGCATATTACAGTTTGATTGGTTGAATGGCTGACCGGTCGACCAGACACATAGGGCTTCCTCAGGCCTATTCCTGCAAGAATAGGGCTTCCTGAGACCGGAGTGAAGCAGAGAAGGGAGCAAAGTCCACTGAGGCAGGCTTCACTCCCTTCTCAGCTGCTTCGCTCCCTCTTTTTGCCGCTTAGCCCTAGGCTCCCTCCCTTCTCTGCCACCTGGACTCTCTCCCTTCTCCACCGCTTTGCTCCCTCCCAGGTCACGGATCCAAGGCCCAGATCCCCCAGGCAGCATCAAACGCTGCTGGCCTCACCTTGCCGGGTCCTGGGTCCGGGGCCTGGGTCCCGAGGGCAGTGTAGAGTGCTGCCGGCCCCACCTGCAGTATGCAAATTAACCGCCTTCTTTGTTGGTGGTTAATTTGCATATCACGCTGATTAGCCCATGATAATAGGCAGCTTCAAATGCCTATGGGAGGCGTAGCGAAGTTATGGTCAATTACCATGTTTGTCTATTATTAGATAGGATATGTGCTTGAAAATGCATAGAGCTTCCAGTCAAGATGGCAGCACAGGTAAATGTGGTACTATCTTTTCTTTCTTAAAATATATTTTTATTTATTTCCGATAAAAAGGGAGACGGAAAGATAGAAGCATCAATGATGAGAGAGAATCATTGATCGGCTGCCTCTTGCACACCCCACACAAGGGATGGAGCCCACTCAGGCATGTGCCCTGACCAGGAACCAAACCATGACTTTCTGGTTCATAGGTCAATGCTCAACTACTGAGCCGCACCAGCCAGGCAAATGTGGTATTTTCTTAAACATTTTTTTCTTAAATTAGTTTTTTTTTTAAATAGATTCATAGTTATAAAAATGTTTATTGATTTTGGAGACAGAGGAAGGTATCCTTGTGTAGAGAACACTTCAGAAGATTTTATTTTCTCACAAACTAAAACAGTGGAGAGAGTTCCCTCTCCTCCAGGGCATGGCCAGGTCATTATTTGATTCTCATGGTTTGGAACATTCCCCAGATTAGTAACATCTTCCCAGAGTCTTCCTGTCAAACAGTCTTTGCCTCCTCTGAGTGACTCTAAGATCCAAAGGACCTATAACTACTGCTGGTTTGTGTCCAGAAATAGATACATCGCAGGCAGAGTGTGCTGCTTGGGGAGGTAGCTGCCTGATTCATCAATTTTATCCCCCGGGCTATAGCACTTTGACCAAAAGCCTCTCTGTTTCTCCTACTAACTTTCAGGAGAATTTCTAATTTTAATAAATAACAGCACACTCATTTCACTGGGAGCTCCCTGGGGCTAGTTATACTATCAAGGCATGTTCATATTTCCATTTTCAATCATTTACTCCCTTCCTTGCTGGCACTATTTTTAAAACTTTCCAATCAAACTGAAGCAACTTCAGAAAAGCAGCTGACCACATCACAGTTCGTTTCAACTCTACAGAAAGCCTGACTTTTTGAAAGAAAGCTTTTTAAAAAAGCAAAGTTCTCACCAATTCAGCCTTTCAAAGTCAATGAGAACTTCCAATCTTATTAAATAGGTGGTGTTTTGGCAATAGCTCTGAGTTAATAAGAAAGTAGTTACAATATTTAAATTCATTTTACTTATGGGCTTTTTAAAGCAGCTAATGAATATTCCCTTTGCCCTGCTCTTGATTCCCCAAATCTCGTGTGCTGTAATAAAATTATGAACATATGAATAATTTGCACATGTTAAATTTTGGAATTGTTCCCTGACCAGTGTGGCTCAGATAGTTGGAGCGTCATTCCATGCACCAAAGGGTCGTAGGTTCAATTCCCAGTAAGGGCACATACCTAGGTTTCAGATTTGATCTCTGATTGGCGTGCATGTGGGAGGCAACCAGTCAATATTTCTCTCTCCCTGTCTCTAGAGAATCAATGAAAAACATATACTTGGATGAGGATTTTTTAAAATTTTTGGAATTACTCTGAAATGTATTACCATGAATTTTCAACATGTTTGTGTTTTGTTTGTTATTTTGAAATTTCTTGAGTAAGAGGTTTTCAGAAAAGGAGAGCATCAATTCTGAGTCATTAAAATGAATTCAAAAAAAATGAATTCCTTTATTTCTATATTTAAGATTATTCCTATGGTACAAATTATATGATTTTTTAAGAAATATAAAAAGCTTCATGAATTTGCACATCATCCTTGCACAGTGGCCATGCTAACCTTCTCTGCATCATCCCAATTTTAGTATATGTGCTGCCAAAGAGAACACCAAATGATATGATTTTAATATAAGTGTGAGTATACATGACGTTTTTCACTTAATGTATTTTCCTTGTGTGCATAATGAAATGCAAAACTCATGCTTTCAAGAATTGTATTTTGCCCTGGCTGGGATGGCTCAGTTGGTTGAGCTTTGTCCTGTGCCCCCAAAGGTTGCCAATTTGGTTGCCAGTTTGATTCCTGGTCAGGGCATATGCCCAGGTTGCAGGCCCAATCCCTGGTCAGGGTGCATGTCAGGAGACAGCTGATTGATGTTTCTCTCTCACATTGATGTTTCTCTCTTTCCCCCACTTTCCCTTCCTTTCTCTCTAAAAGTCAATCAATATAAACATATATATTTTTTAAAAGCCCAGCTGGCGTAGCTCAGTGGTTGAGCATCAACTTATAAGCCAGAAGGTCATGGTTCGATTCCCAGTCAGGACACATGCCCAGGTTGCGGGCTCGATCTCCTAGGTAACAAATGTCCACACCTTGGTGCCTTAAACCAACAGACATTTATTTTCTCACACAGTTCTGGAAGCCAGAAGTCTGAAGTCAAAGTGTTTTCGGGGTTGGTTCCATCTGGAGACTCAAGAGGAAAATCCTTCTTTGTGTCTCCGAACTTCTGGGGGCTTCCTTGACCATCTTTGGCTTATCTCACACCAATCTCTGCCTCCTCTTCAAATGGCATTCTCTCTGTGTCTGTGTTTCTGCAAATTTCCCTCTTCTCAATAAGTACACCAGCCAATGGATTAGTGCCCACCCTAATACAGTATAGGGGTTCAGAACAAGTCATCCCAATAAGTGCCTCTGTTCCCCTCTCCTTTAACTACCTAAATTTGAATTAGGCAGAGGAAGCTACAAGTGCAAATGTCCTGGGGCTGCATAGAGTTTGCTAAGAAAGCTAGTGTGCCTGCAACAAAGGCCAGCCAAGAAAGGTGGACAGGCAGGGGCCAGTTCACAGGAATGTTGGAGGCCTAGGGAAGGAATTTGAATTTTTCATTCATGCAATGGGAAGACAGCCACTGAAGGATTTTAAGCAGAATAATTACAAGATCTGATTGGTATTTGTGTTTATGAAAGCTCGTTCTGCCTGTGTTGTGAGAATATAATACAGGGGGAAAGAAGGGAGGTTGCAGACAGCTAAGAGGGAACTGCTGACACCCTGAAAGGGGCAGAAATAGAATATTGGGGAACCAGCTAGTATTATAAGAGGGCACATTCTATCCTGGCTGGAGCTGACCTGGAGATGCAGCCCTTCCTCCCCATTTGAAGCTGCCTATTATCATGGGAAGATTAACAAAGGTGCTGCAGAAACCAGAATCACCAGCCCTTTGAAGATCCCCAGCCCTTTTTGCATACCTGCAGGCCTTTGCAAACCTCCAGCCTGCTTACCTGTTAATTGCCCATGTGGCATTCCCTTTGGCTATTTGCCCATGTAACCCCAACCCTTTCATATCACTAAGCCCTTTGAAGACCCCTAGTCCTTTTGCATATGTGTAAACTGCCCTTTTGCTATATAAGCAATTGGCTTATAGTGGGCTGCAGAGCAGATTTTTGTGGCTAACCTGCTGCTCTCCCATACTGCCAGCAATGCTATAAAATAAAAGCCTAATATGCAAATTGTCCCCTCGGGTGGTCTTTCAACTGACAGGGAGTTCGACCACTCACTATGATGTGTGCTGACCACCAGGGGGCAGTGCAGAACATGGCAGGCGTCGGCGACACGGCACTGGCAGCAGGCGGCATTGGAGGCATTGCCAGCCCCAGTGGGCCCCAACGAGAGCAGGACTGCGGCGGGATGGGAGGCGGGGGGCCGATTGACCTGCCGATTGCCCCCGGCAGAGACCAGCAGCAGCAGTGGCGGAGGGCGGGGCCACCACCGCTCCCAGGCGCTGAGGGAGCCAGGCAGGGGGCCCCCCAGGCCCTAATCAATCCCCCAACAGGCAGGATGGTGTAGCCAGTGAGGGGACAGTGCCAGGCCAAGGTGGGGTGCCAGGCAGGGCTGCAGGACTGCAAGGCTGGGGGCATGAGCTGGGGCCCGATCCCCGCAGGCCACCCTGAGAGACCCTGCCTGTGCACAGATTCATGCACCGGGCCTCTAGTATTGGAATAAATGCTCATATGTGATTCAACCCTGTCTCTGCTTAATTGGCTTGAGTAGTGACAGGCAGCACAGACCCATTGTTTGTCTGGTTACAACCCCACCCCCCTCAAGTAAGAGAAACCAGGGTGGTGTAAATAGACATGCAGGGAGTCAACAGATATAAGACATGTTTGAAGGATTTACTGAAAGTTTGAAACGATGTAGAGAGAGAATAAATTGGAGAAGTCAATGATAAGTGCTTGGCCATGGTGAGTGTGGGAGAGGGAAGATGAGCCTGAGGTTTTTATTTAAGAGCCACAGATGAAGGGTGATGTCACAAACTCACTAACTGGGGTTGGTGGGGGAGGAGCAGCTCTGTGCAAAATGATGACAGAGCATGGACACGTGTCAAAGCTCGCATTTGGAAATCTCCCCACCATGCACCTTTACTTCATGGAGCTAAATGTTGTAGGAGAGGGAAAAATTTTTTCTAGGTTCTTGGCTGAGATACCCCTGTAATAAAATACAGATTAACAGGAGAAATACAAATTTAATTATGTACATATGTATGGGAGCCCCACAAAGTTATGTGACTCCAAGATGTGAGCAGAGGAGGAACTTTTTATACCTTTTAGACAAAGAAACAATCAATTTGTGAAGAGTTGGTAAGGCAGGAGGATCTGGGCTAGGGGTAGTAAACAGTAAAGAATTTACAAGGTTTGTTTATATAGCCTTCTGGGCCCTAAATTCTCTATCTCTGGGGATAAGGATGCCTTCTCCCCTCTAGGTATAGGGAGGGCACCTTTCACCTGAGGGTCAGAGTGTTCTTGCACCAGCTGTGGAAATAATGAAATTCTTTCTCTTGTTATCAAACACAACTCTTCGAAGGGCAAATTCTTTTCTACCATGTTAGCATTCTATAGCTCCCTGGTGGCTGAGTCTGATGGTGTAGACAGAGTAGACCCCAGCCCCAGCATCTCTGCTTGGACAAAGACCTTGACTTTGCATAAATGCATAGGCTGTGATGTGAGAACATCCAAAGGCCCCAAGGCTCCCCATCACTGAGCTAGAAAGTCTCCTCATTGCCGCTCACAGACCTTCCTATTGGAAGGTTCCATCACCTGGACCTATACCTGGAAAAGTGTCATTGGCCAATATTCATGTCACTTCCTACCTGATCTTACTTATCTTGGATTCCTCAGGTTGTTCCTCAGAGGTGGGTTTTATTAGGCAGCCTCTCTGTCTGATTTACTGGATCTTAAAAAAACACACACAGCCCTAGCTGGTTTGGCTCAGTGGATAGAGCATCGGCCTGCATACTGAAGGGTCCCAGGTTCGATTCCAGCCAAGGGCACAGGCCTGGGTTGTGGGCTCGATCCCCAGTAGGGGGCGTGCAGGAGGCAGCTCATCAATGATTCTCTTTCATCTTTGTTTCTATCTCTCTCTTCCTCTCCCTTCCACTCTGAAATCAATAAAAATATATTTTTTAAACACACAGGCAACACATCAAAATATCAGAATGAGGGCGTTAGGGTCAAAATTCCAGCTTGAAGACCTGGATTCAAAAGCATGGTTTCTTGACCTGCTCATTATATAAGTTTCAGTGAGTTCCTTAATCTCTCTGAGAGCCTCCTATTCTTCTTGGGTAAAATAGGAATGACGACATGCCCATCTATAGCACTTTTAGAGAGAAAGGAAGGGAGAGAGAGAGAAACATCGATGTAAGAGAGAAACATCGATGTAAGAGAGAAACATCTATCGGTTGCCTCCCGTACGCACCCCAACCGGGGATCAAACCCACAACCTAGGTATGTGCTCTTACTGGGAATCGAGCCTGCCACCTTTTGGTATATGGGATGATGCTCCAACTAACTGAGCCACAGAAGTCAATTTTATGTTCTAACTTGGAAAATGGCCATAATACACTATTAGGTGGGGGGAAATGTCACAGAATAGTATTAAGGGGTGATTTTTTATTTCCATCTAAAATTTAAATATCATATACATATGTTAATATATGCATTTTTAAAAAACTGGGAAAGAAGAGAATAGAATGAGCCATTAAAGCAGTTATTAAATGCCTACTATGTGCTAGGTGTTGAGAACATACAGATAAATAAGAAATTAGAATGTCACTTCCATGAAGGAAGAGAACTTTGCTGTTTTGTTCTCTGTTATTGCCCCAGTGTCTGGCATATAATATGTACTCAATAAATAAATATGTAACAGAAGGAGAGAGGGAGGGAAGGAGGGAGGGAGGTAGTCCCTGTTCCCAAGTGGCTCATAGCCAAGTGTTGACACAGATGTGTGAGCAGATGACTTTTCTGAAAAGGGACACTGCAGAGAACTCTGGGAGAAAAAGGCTCCTAGTTGGTAGGGGTTTTGCATAAACCATCTCTCATCCTTATGGCATCACCCCCTTTCACAGAAGTTGGTTGCAAAGTCATGGCCATGCAGCCCTTTTCAAACTCAAAGCTTATCTGGCTACAGGAGCCCTCTTCTTTCAGGACAGCGCTTGGCCCTATAAAAGAGAACCAGATTATCCAGGCTGAGTTGGGGGCAGAAGTGCTGGTAATGAACATCTCCAAACTGGGTCTTAGAGAGCCAGAAACTCGGAAAACAACGCCTTTTGTCAGTATCTGGGGGAAATTGTCTTCAGACAACTCAAAGGTGACACCCAATGTCACTATGGGGAACTACACAGGAACCCTAAATAGTGGTTCTGGAAGAGGGAGGATGGGAGACCCTTGCTGTTGACGATTTCATTTCTGGGTTCTTCTCTGATTCCTTTCTGATAGCTTTTGCTTAATTACAATTGCAGTGGAATAGCAGAAGCCTCAAGTGGAAACACAGATTCGGGCTAACACCTTTCCAGGGACTAACTAGTCATCCAGATCTGGTAAGAACCTCTGTTCTCCCTCTTA